CATGTACAGGAACGGATCATGTGGATACTTAGTGTTTGGACCATTTTTGCTTACATCATTCGACCTTTTTCAGCCAAAAATCGACGTCTTCTGACTATTTTGCGGCAGTGCGAACTTCCAGAAATTTTGTCATGGACATGGTGGAACAGGTCGAGCATCGTGTACTGTCGTTTACATTTTCGAAATGCTCAGTTTTACATTGGCTCCACTGAACAAACCATGTTTTCGAGAGAACAGAGTCGGTTACGAAAATACCGACAGTTAAAGAAAGACCAACTTGCTTACTACGAACCAGCTTTGAAGGCCTGGTCAGCACAACGCAACTATTTTCAATTTATTGGTTTTCCTTTACTCCAGACTGACGTTGACAAGCTTCTTGCAGTTGAAACAGCATGCCAAAGGACTTTTCGCCCCATTTACAATTGGCCTTGGATCAATCCTTTGATGAAACAACTTCGGATTGGTAAGCAACAATTCGGACCTTCAACTTTGAAGACCAGTACTCAAGGGATGAAATTTGTGAAACGATTTCGCAAACGCAGTCTGCAAACTGCTCAATGCATTCTTAGTCGTCGGATTACGGATACTACAAGTTTGTACATTTTCCTGTATTCCCTTGGTTCTGACACGCATGACAAGTTCATTTGTTCTCGCATTCTACGTTCGAAGTTGTCAAATGTGCAGTTGATTTTCTTGTTATGGCGCTTGAGCCACCATATGTTGGAACCTTTTCGGACCAGAGCACAATCTCAATTGCGTTATATTTTCAAATTCTATGCTACTGAATCGCCACCAGCGAATATACCCATGCAGTTACAGGTTTTGTCGGATACAATGGAACGTCGATTTCGACAATGGTTGCTGGGATTCACTCACCATCATCGCTGTAACTTTCCCATTTTTCACAAAGTTCGTGCACCGTTTGTGACAGTGAAAAATCGAACTTTAGCTCAATATTTGTACAATTTTCGTTCTTTTCTAAAGTTGTGGACACCTCAGTTTCGCCCTCAGTGTGCTTGTCAGTTGTTTCCTCTTCATGTTCAACACAATCCACGGAAAACAGATCATATTTCATCCTTCGCCTCGGAATGTTTTCCACTGGATCCTATTCTGACTGCACATTTGGAAGATGAAGTTACACCTACGTGGACACAATTTTTCCATCAAAACACCTTCCAATTTGAAAAATGGTTACGACGTTGGAAACTTCGCCGAGATCTGATCCAGTATTGGCAGGCTTTTCTACAAGACTGTTGGAATTTGCAACTTGATTCAGGTCAGTTGTACACTCAAAAACGTATTCGACAGGCTCGACAAAGGATCGACGGACTTATTGCTTCCCCAGCAGATCATTTTCCATCGTCTCTCACCTTACATTGTCCTGTCCAGTGGCACAATTTGCTGTGTAAGACATTTCAAGACACCTCTGTTTTTCATCTTTGTCATGTTGATTCAGCCACTATTCTGAAGAATATTCAGTATGATCTTCCTGGATGGATCACTGACAGATATCCTTGGGCTTTCGATTTTCATTTATCATTAAGCAAGGCGTATATTCTTCCAAAACCTTCACGCTCGTTTATGAAAGCACGACCCATCGTTAATTACAGTCGATCTTGGCCAAAACAGATGGGTTATATTTTGTCTGTGGTGTTGCAAGATATTTTGAAAGTTGTTTATCCATCCTTACTTCGCTACAGTGATATCAACAAGGTGATGAACGAAATCAAATGCTTTTTCCAAATTGATCATGGTGCTGACCTTCTTCTCTTTCAGACTGATATTGCTGGTTTCTACAACCAAGTTGAACATGACCGCATTCTCGGATCTATTGAATTCGCCATTCATCAATATATTTTACAACATGGACAGACCTTCGATTCTGTACTTCAAGCACACGTATATCAACATGAACGCACCCTGCGAGTTTTTAGAGGTCAATGGCGACAACACACCAAGATGTATCGTGATATTCGCTTGGGCGACATTCTACCTATTTGTAGCTTTCTGTTGAATCACAGTTTTTTCACCGTCGGAATGTCTACATTTTTACAAAAACGTGGTGCCAGCATGGGTAGTCAATGGGCACCTATTTTCTGTGCAGCTGTCGCACTCATGCGAGAACATACTTTTCTGTCCTGTTTTCGTCAATTTACCAACAATTCCACTTTTCATCATCGTTACGTTGACAATCGAGTGATGCTACTTCCTGTGGGACACTGGAACTCAGAAATGCAGTTATTTTGGAATCTTTCATTCTATTCACCTCCCATTCTACTTGAACAAGTTGAAGGATCTGAATTGTTAGGATACAACGCTGACGTGTTACAGCGTACAACTACATATCTTCAACCTGTGGACAAAGCGTTTCGTTCAACAAGGAGTTCAAGTACGACTAAGGCACTCACGTCCGGAGCTCTGGCCAGAATTCGTCTCATTTTGCAGAATACATGGCCCAGTTCTCTACAAATACCTCAAATTCAAGATTTTCTGTCCATTTGGTCTCGACGACAACGTGATGTATTGTCTTCTACTTTGAGAAGTCAGATTATCAAATTGGTACGCTCACGTCATCCACAACTTGATCCTGATTCTCTTTTTCACTTTGACTAGATACCATGACAGGAAACGCAGACAAAACAGTTGCTGGATTTCGCATTGTCGTGTTTTGTCGTCATTCGCCATCACTTTCGTGAAGTCATTTGATGTTGGACATTTTCATCAATGGGCATTCTTTGACGTTTTTCATCTGAAGTTCGATAACGTCACACTGTTTTCTTCTTTTTCATTTACCTTTTCAGTTATGTTCATGTTGTGTTTTTCTCAACTCAGTTGTTTTCATCATACTTTTGCCGATTGCGAATCTTGACTTTGACAGTTCGAATCACACGTTTTTGAATTTTGAAGAGTATATTTAAGCTCAAACTCAAACCAATCTATCTCCTTCTTACGATGCCTTCGTTGCGTGAACTTAGCAATACTTTGGAACAGTGGTCCCTTCGGAAACGTCTCACCGATCGCTCCAGATCGCCAGTTCGGGAACCCTATATTTGTGATGGTCAGACACGTTCGAGTATCAAGAACGCTTCAGTTGAGTCTCGTTTCGAAAATGAAAGTGAACGATCCAGATCGCAAGTCCGGGAGCCCTATAGTTATGATGGTCAGACACGCTCGAGTATCAAGAACGTTTTGATCGAGCCACTTTCTGAAAATGCAAGTTCTACATCACATCGACGTCAAGATCGGTCTTTCACTGCAGCTGATGGTTCATCTGTTCAGTCCTCGTTCCCTTCAACCGATCGTTTTCAGAAGAGTCGCTCTCCAACGGGAACGCAGTCCGGACCCTTATTCTGTCCCAAGGAGACCATTTGATTTACAGTGAACCTTTCCCATATGTTGCACAAGAATTTCTAGGACATGTATATATTGCAAACTGATACTGCGATGAAAAACAGCGTTCACCATCAGCTGCCTCCCCTGCCGGGGGGGCCATTGTGTGTGTGTGAAATCCGCTATCATTCATGCGGACCTGAGTTTCTGTTAACAAGTTGATTCAAACAATCCATCAGATGCAGGGGCGTGCAGCACCTTTGGCATACTGCACGCAACGAAGCTATTGCCATTGGTGGGAAGGGGAGACTGATCACCTCCCTGTACCTGCAGAAGTTGGTTTTGAACTGTTGAACAAGCTGTCCATTTTCATGCGTATATGTTGCTAATTTGAGATTATCTCAGAAATCAGAGTTTCCCACTGCTTTCCCTACTCGACTGACCAGGATTTTGGACCTAGGAACCCTCAAGGCATGAACTACTTCATCACTATAAAGTTCCTCATTCGAGTAATGTTACTCAGTAACATGCTCCCATCAGCAGTGTGTGTATGTGTGCAGTGTATGTGTGCAGTGTATGTGTGAATGTGCGTGTGATTACTAAATACAGAGGAGGGAGAGAGAGAGAGAGAGAGAGAGACATAGGTAGATAGGTAGAAAAATAAAATCAGATTATATAGTTAACTAGACTAGATTAGATTGATAGATAAGATAGAATAGATATATAGTATAGATGGAATAAATAGAATAGGTGGAACAGATAGAATAGATACAGTATATAGAACAGAAAGAATAGAATAGAATAAGAATAAGAAAAAGAATAAGAAGAAGAAGAAACAAGATAAAGGAAAAGAAGAAGAAAAAGAAGAAAAAGAAGAAGAACAACAACAAAAAAGAAGAAGAAAAGAAGAAGAAGAAGAAGAAGAAGAAAAAGAAGAACAAGAAAAATAAAAGTAATAAGATGAAGAAGAAGAAATAGAAATAGAATAGCAATAGAACAGCAATAGAATAGAAATAGAATAGGATTAGAATAGAATAGAATAAAGAAAGAAAGAAAGAAAAATAGAAAAACAGAAAGAAATATAGATAGATAGAAAGACCGATTAGATTAGACATATTTGATTAGACAGATTCGATAGGCAAACAGCCAGCCAGCCAGCCAGCCAGTTGTTCACGTGAATCATGAAAAGTTAGCTCGTATCTTTGTCGCTGAGGAGGCCCATTGATGTATTGCCAAGCATAGCTGATTCTGGATACGTCATGCTGTCTGCGTGGACTTGGATGGAAATCCCCAACATATAGTCACGGTCAGAATTCTCCACAGTAGCGTTAGTAAGCCTCGATTCCATCTGTGGCCCCAGAGGTGAAGTCCTCTGAAATGAATTCTGATGCAATCCCGATGGATTCTGCACCATTTATTGGTTTCCAACCTCCCAAGTTCCAATTTCGGATTGTCCTACGAACCGTAAGTGATTCATAACCTGGTTAGTACCCTCTGGTTATTTAACATAGCCATGGTATAGATGGCCCATTTATAGATGATTTTCCCAGCTAGAAACCTCCATTTTTCATGGATTTTCCATGGCTATGTTAGTCATAACCAGATGGTAAGTCCCCGCCTCAGTGGTATCCCAGGCCACTAACTCTCGTGCTGATCCCAACTCCCCGGACCTCGAAGCGCTTCGCGAGTGCCAGCCGCGGATCCGTCCATCTCGGTGAAGCAAAATCCAGGTGGGAAATCCCTGACCTCTTGAGGTTTCATACACCCAGATAGGTAGGATAGGATTAGATAGGTATGAAACACCTAGATTCTAGATAGGTTTTTACCCACCACCCAGATAGGTTTCATTACACTTAGATACCTATGTTTTTTCCCACCCTTTTTTCCCGATCCAGGGGTCATGGAATCAACTATGGAGAGGCAACGTAACGTGTGCCCAGGCGTAGAGTACATAAGTGGTTGCTGCTGGTTCATACACCTGAGTAGTGGTTGTTGGTGTTTGTGTTGGTGGTTAATGTTCCCCCTTACAAATAGTTGGTGGTCAAGATTCAGCCTCAAAAAAAACAAACACTATTGGGGGGTCACCGAACTGAAGGGTTGGTTACATCCCCATGAGGGAAGGATCTACAAGCGTTGGAAGGGCCAGGTCCCACTTCCGACATGCTACCGAAGCTTTCAGAGAACCCCCTTTCAGCGACCCTGAAATGTGATAATCCTGGTGGTGATTTATACAGTAGTATCTCTCTCTCTCTCTGTCCATCGCCCTTTTGGGGAACAGTAGTATCATACCACACCCGACCCCGGACAGTGCCGCGGCTGGCCCACAGAATGGCAAGGCCACTGAGTTCTGTAGTAGCCCTCCACGGCCAGCTGTTGTTCTTTCTGGTCCACCCGAACAATGGATGTGATGTAGAGCATCACTTTCACCTGCAGACATCGCAAAGAGTGGCGACAAGCCCCAGCTACAAGATATTCTTATGGTGAGGTCAATGCGGTCAATGTAGGGTTGTGATAATTTGCTTGAGGTGAGGAGATCCCCATGAATCAATGCCCCGACGAATTCTCGGAGCGTGTCGGCCCACAAGAATGTGATAATTACCAGAGTAAAAGTAGCCTGGTTTGGTCTCACATAGCTACGAGCATGGTGTCAAAACTGGATGCCTAAAAAAAGTGGAATGGTTCAATTCAATACTCAAAGTAACCCTCAAAACCGACTAGTCCCAGAATCATAAACTTTCGACCTATTTCCACCATAGCCCACCAGGAATCCACTTCATCGTTCCATCCTTCCACCCTGATAGCACGCTGGTTAGCACCTGCACCTGTTCGTTGGTCATGAGCCCGGGATGAGCCAAGTAATCATAGTCGGTTGTGAGATTCTTTAGCATCTCCTGAGCCCGTTGGAAGGCTGTGACTGGTAATGTGGTAAGCCCAAGTAGAATCCTGGTTACTGTATTGATTGGGCATATTATTCAGGTGATTCAGGCGTCTTGTTGGAAAAAAGAGAAAACGTGGCATGATTGTTGGGCCTGCCCCAACATTAGCCGGTCTTGCGGACATCAAACCATCGAGGGTGTAAGATAACCAGCAAATGCCCATGCCACTATGAGAAAAGGTCCAGGCCCCCATCAAAGTGACAGGGGCTGTTCCACGAAAGGAAACACTGAAAACATGTCGAATCACCAACTGTGTCGTGCACAAAAAAGGGGCACCATAGATTCAAACAAAATATGATGATCTAATTCAATGATCCTCGACCTTGATGTTTTGACTGGGATATACGGTATATACGTGGGTGTGCTTCAGGAATCCCCATCTTCCCTCAATCCATGGATATTTTGGTGCATTTCTTGGGAAGAATCCAGGCTTACCATGGAAAAAAACACATCCAGGCGCCTGCGAACTGGGACATCGCCCCGCCACCGGACAGATCCGCGCAATCAGCGCGATCCAAACGCCAAGTGCCAGGCTGCAGCGCGCCATGGGCAGCGCAAGGTGAGGGATGTGAATTCTATGGGGAATTGAATGGTTAACATTGGTTAACTAGGTTTATATAACTATGGTTTTTTTAACTTGGTGAATTCTATGGTTTAGATAGCTAAGTTGACATAGCTTGGTGAATAGAACTCGGCTCTTCCTGGGCTTATCTGGGAGGCAGTGGGCATCAGTTTCAGGGCACGGGTGGGAGCATGGCCATGCTGCCAGGGTTGGATTCCATGTTGAACTGCCATTGTAACCTGTCCACTTCTCAGACACAGCACCATGGATTCTACATTACAGGGGGTCAGAGATTCTACGGGGGGTCTTCAGAACTCGGGTTCGGCACCAAATGCTCACATGGATCAATGAAGTCAAGAACTGTGCACCAAGTTTCCGTTTCAAGGCTGGAATTCCAAGGGTGGGGCTTTGGAAAGTTTGATGCATTGCCTTGTCAACAATGTAGGCTTTGTTCGCCTATCACTGATAGATCCAGCATCAACGGACCCGGTCCCCTTCACCATGCATTATTGTTGCGTGTCCATGTTTAGATGTATAAGCGTGTATGTGTGTATATATATATATATATGTGTGTGTGTGTGTGTATGTATGTATGTATGTATGTATGTATGTATGTATGTATGTATGTATGTATGCATGTATGTATGCATGCATGTATGTATGTATGTATGTATGTATGTATGTATGTATGTATTAAATATATATATACATATATATGTGTGTGTGTCTACGTATCTATATATAATATCTGTATATACACATACGCATGTGTTTGTGCATGCACGTTCCTCTCTCCATATATCCATGCAAGGGTTTACGCGCTCCAATGGATATGATAAATCTGTGTGCACATGTATATATAATATATTTATGGTTATAGTTATATATATATAATACATTGTATTATGCCGCCATCTGTGTGCCCATGTTCCATTCATGATATTCATGCACTTATTTCTGTAAATTAGTTGATCTTGACTCAGGCAAACCGAAAGCCACACCCCATCCCGAACTGAGTTTCATTTTCACACATTAGCAACGTCTCTTCCCAAAACTGCACACAAAAAACATATGCATGGGTTTGCCTGAAAACAATGCACCCCCGTAATTTGATGGTGTATCATAGTCTTCCCGATTCAAATTGTCCTTTTCGGGGTAATCCCCCATTTTCAGACTCAAACATATCGGTGCTACTATCCCTCGCCAAGTTCACGTTCTTGCCGTTCGTGTTCTTCCAGCACTTCCTCCTGTTTTTTCGACACGGCCAAGTTGAGACGCTCCATTGAATCGTTGATTGATTGATATGACGAGAACATCATGCTTTTATACACAACGGATTACAATTGGATGTGTGAAACACCAACCAAATGATTTTAGCGGATTGACGGTGTCTGAAAATAGGGGATTTGTCCATCCAGTTATGGCAAGAAATTGAAGCATTGATGATAAACCTGGTTGTGTTTGGAAATGTAGGGGTAGAACATGTTCTTGAAACCAAAAAATCACTCAGGATTGATGGTTATTTCCCAAAAAAAAACCTATCATAGAGATCCAGACTCTGAACATGCGAGTACCAAAAAGCTCGGAATGGGGAGCATTCCGAAACCACCATTTTCTCAATGGATTGGTTTCGTTGGGGAGAATCAAAAACCTCTCCTGCTGCAGGAAGCGACTCAGAGCTGCAATGGGATTCTCCTGAGGTGGCCAAATCACGCCAAAAAAAGAGGATGTACGCATGCATTATGATCTGGTTAGATGGGCATACCAATCAACATCTAATATATATATACAGTATATATACACATACATTTATTTTATATGTATATATGTATGTATGTGTGTGTACATTGTTTAAATCATTATATTATAATATATTATACATCTCACAATATCATTACATATCTGTGTGTGCCCTATGTCTGTGCGCTGAATGCAAAAGGACATCCAGAACCATCGGGTCACCCTATCAGGCCATGCCACCATCGCCTTCCATCGCCTTCCGCCCGTCCTGCCCGCCCTGCCCAGGCAACGTGCCCGAATTGGAGTACCACTTGTTGAGCTGCGAACTGAGGCCAGCCTCGGAAATCGTGCTGTTTAACCATACCAAAGGGCTGGCTTTCTGGGGAGTTGTGTTGGCCAATGTTTGAACAAAGAAACATGAAGAAGATACAAATTAAATGAGATGTAAAAGCATACCAGACATACCAGGACGAATCCCTGCATGGCTTGAAATATCTTGAGTTTCTAAATCCCAGCGAAGAATCAACCCTGTGCCGTTTAAAATCCTCCGTGCGAGCCCCTCTTTGACTGCATAATTTACACCCAGCAGGATTTCATCCAAGACTTTGACATTATTCAGTTCCTACATGTTCCTACCATCAGAATCGACACCACGGGTGTCGACCCACAATGACCCACATCTCTATTCAATGGGAATTTCAGGGTCCTAAAATGGAGGTACTGTACCATATAAGGCCATATTTTGTGGGGATATTCCCTTACATAGGTAGGTACCTCCAATTTAGGTTCCTGAAATGGCCATTGATCTATCTGTGCTGGTAAACCCAACCATAAACCATCCCAAAAATCATCATAAATGGCTGGTAAGGAATGTAAAGACTATCCCAAATCGTAGGTTGATTCTTCGGTTTCAAACACTTTGGGTGAAACTCCTCATCTCGCCACGACTGTATATACCCCCGACTAAGTCGGGTCCTTGTTTAACTTTCCCATCATCCAATTTTGGATAGATATACTGTACTGTGTAGATAGATAAAATAGAGAAAACGTCCATGCTATGTTCAGACATCTATACAATGCATCATCTCTGTTCCCCGGGTAGCTACTTACAAGATCTTACAAGTATTAAGCTGTTCTATCTGCATATGGCTTCGTCTGCACTTTCACATGCTCAGATCTAAAAAAAATAGTTCAATGATAAAAATTATGATTTACATTGATTTACCTATTCATAGCATGATGTGTTTACCTACTAACATCGTAAGTTTTTCCACAGCAAAATAGCCATCGTTTTGTTCCCGGGTCACCGCACCGCCCGTGGCGATTCCTCGTGCTCCAGGCCCAAGCTGTGAGAGCGCGACAAAGAAGCGGAAGCCAGGCCGTCGCTGCCGAGGTCGTCCAGGGAAACCAGGGAACCTCAGGGCTCCTGATGTATGATATACTTCTTGGGACTTGGGATCAAATATATATATATATATTATATTATATATATTATATATTATTTTATATTATATATTATTTTATATCTTATATTAAATATTACATTATATATTATATTATATATTATATGATATATTATATTAAATTATATATTATATCTTATATTATATCTTATATTATATATTATATTATATTATATTATATATCATATAATATTATATATTGTAGAAATAGGTTAGTAGCCACTTAGTGCCACAAAACAAGTAAACTGCCAACGCACTATTTCTTGAGCCATAGCGTACGGAGTATGAGGAGTGAAAAGGTATATACATGGTATGCTACTGTGCAACAACACCCCCCGTGCAGTGTAGGCCTATACATGGGGTGAAGCTGCAAATTAATGGTTAGACTACCGAGTTAAGGGATGCCATTAACGAGACAACAAAACAACCCAAAGAACAAACCCTCGGACCATCGCCTAACCTTCTTCGTAGCATTTCCTTTCCACACCTCAGGGTACGCAAGATGCAACATGGATCAAGTGTGACAATGCATTTCAGTCGACCCGACATCAAGTACAGCGATCAACGGATGCAATGAACATCAATTCGGTCGGATGCATTCAGCTTCATTTTAGGCTCGACTGGGCTTGTGGTCGAACATGCAAGGTGGAAAGAAAAGGTCTTGGCCCAATACTAGGCCAGCGTTTCCACGCGGCAACAAAAGTTCTTGTGGTCGCCCAGGAGCTTGCCAAAGCAAAGCGATCTGAATTATGGCAAAAGCTGAATTCAATTTTGATGTGAACTCGCAGGGAAGCTTTCAGAAATGCTTCAAAGATGCCTTAACTTCGCAAGGCAAGAGCTTCCGCTCTGCGGTACATGCAACTACCAGCCGCGGTACATGCAACTACCAGCCGTGTGCTATGCAAGAAGGAATCATGGCAAGAATAAGATGAGTGCCAAATGCCTGCTTCAAATTATATGCATTCAAAGCATTAATGAAACTTTTGTGAACTTGAATGAGTTGGCAGAAATTCCGACTTAGCACACTTGTGTTGGAAATGATGGTGGAATCGCTCACCCACCTGTGCAAAATGAAGCTAGTCGCCTAACCGAATTAGATCCGAAAAGGCAACAGCTTCCGCTGTGCGACACCTCTCATTGAAAGGAAACTACCCCGCCTCAGATGAAGATGAATCCACCAGGCGAGAGGTTCCCCTCCGCGGTGCCTCAGCGATAGCCCGACCAACGTCGATCCCTGTATTGGTGGCCTTGATTTCGACGGCGCCAATCTTCCCACTCCTGGTCAGTCCACTGATTGTAGTAGTCATTCCATTCCTGCTGACTGTAGCCATGAGTGGGCCCCTGATGAGAACCATAGCCAGGACGCGAGGACCTGGTGACATCCGGGTTCTGCTGCCTCGTTGCAGGTAGGGGTCGGCTTCCGCCTTCCGTGTCCTTTGCCTCCGTGAGGGGGGCGCAAGATGTCGTCGACATAGCTGAGAATGTCGGCATACACATCCTGCTTGGACAACGCAAGGGATTGGAACGTCGTGTTGGCGACGCTCAAGACCTCAAAACGATCGGCCACAGGGATCAAAGCATAGGCGGCCGCGAACTGGTTGGCTCTGTAAAAGCGGTTCTTGTACCAGATGAGTACATGATCATCCACGATGATCGTCTTCATCTGCTCCTCTTCGTATGCGACCATGCACATACGCGCTTTGTACTGCCGAATCTTTCCAGTTCGGATCTCCTCGCGGGTGCGTTTGATGGATGGAAGCACCACGTTGCCCAAAACAGTAATCCAATGCATACACCGAGGTGTAAGGTCTTGGACTGCACAATTGAAGGCGTAGTGGGCGTCCGTTCCCAGACGCTGTAGCAAAGTCAGCCCTGCTTTTCTCGCCTGCTTCATGTATGAGCGGGCGTGATTTTTGAGGACTGCAGCAGCAGATCTGATCTGCTTGGCACCTTGAGTGGTGCCTGCTACATCGTCGTCGCCCAGAAGATCCAATGTCAGCTCGAAGCCCAGCTTCTCGGCCAACTCTTCCAGGCGGAACACCTGACACGCACGACGCATGTCGGACATTGTCGCCAGCGACAAGCCGCATGCAAGGCACACCAACATCCCCTCAGGAAAGATCTTCCTGCACCGGGGGCATGTCAATTCCGGCATTGCCAGCATTGAAACATACCGCCAGCGCGTGAGGTTCCCCTCCGCGGATGGGTCAAATGCCTCCTGATCGAAGCGATCAGAACGGCGTTCCCGCGCGTTGTCAGGGGCGATGTCGAAGCCAGCTGCAGTTGCCGTTGGCTTGCGTGCCACACAGAGGAGATTGGTGAAGTTTAGCGGCCTTTGCTTGATCTTGGGCAGCAACTCATCGACGACAGGATATGGTGTCGGAACTTCCTTGTAAATGAGCGGACGTCGCAGAGTGATGACATCCTTCCACTGATCGTACTCATTCACGAACATGTTCTTCAACACCTCCAGGTCCGAAATCTCGTACCTCTCAAGTTCGTCGTAGTTGGGAGTGCCCTTCCGAGCCTCGTTCTCTTGCCAAGTGAGAGCGTTCTCGGAGGCCTTCTGCCGAAGGTACTTCTTCACCCCGTTGTAGCCATGGTTCACCCAAAGGTATTGCGACTTCTCGCAATCGAATGCGTAGATGAGGCAATGATTGGGCACCCAGTCCTCAGTGATGAGTGCACCGGCCAAGGTTTCCACCAGGCGAAGACCATAGTGCAAAGCACAATCGGTGTCGATCGCGATGCACAGCGGTCGGTTCGTCCTGACACCAGGATCCTTGCCTTCGATTTCCCAAGGCGCATGGCGGGTCATATATACATGACCCTTGCATGAAGTGGCCCCCAGAAAAATCCCCGTGCAAATGATCTGCTGGAGGGAGTCCCATGAAGTGTAATGGTAAATAACCTTGAACTCTTCTGAGACCTCGGCTTCCGCCAGGTGAGGATAAATGGGGACCCTTGGGTAGAATCCCTTCTTCAAGTCCTCGACCGTGAACTGGTAGTCAAGCGAGATGATTTGCTTGACCAATGGAGCCGTTCCCACCTTGTCGATGAGGGACTGGTCATGACCTTGGCAGGCCTTCACATGCGTGATGCGATACGGCATGTCCATGGTTGTCAGTTCCCCGACAATTCCAGCCTGAATGCGGCACATGAACCTGTCCTGAGTTCGAAGGATCAGGTACAGGTCCTGTCGCGAAAGCTGAGCGCGATGCCGCTTTCGGAGGTACGTGTACATGGACTCAAAGTTCAAGTACAGCTCCCATCAAATTCAGGAGGAATATGGCGATGGTGCGCCTCGAGGAACTTGTGGTCATAGCCACGCAGCAGCCCGGTCACCCTCTTGGAAAATTTGAAATCATCGTGACCGAGTCTTCCCAGGTCCCTCAGGCCTGGCAGGTCAGTACACCGGATGGTGAATTCCCTGCGCTCGCCCGTTCCCGGGGAGAAAAAGTACCACTTGGGATACCCATGTGGTCGCAAGGGCGGTTCAGCTGGAGGCTGAGGTCCACCCGTTCCCGGGGGAGGAGCACTTGCCATAGGCGGCTCCTTCTTGGCCATCTTCGGGGCAGGCTCCGACGAAGACGTAGCTGCAGGCGCCGATGACTTCTGCGGAGGTGCCCTCGGTGAGGTTGTTGTCAACGTTGCAGGCGGTGCCTTGAAAGGCAAAGCTTTGGGCATAGGATGGTCCGCAGCTTCCGCTGGGAGTGCAGGTGGCTCCGGCTTGGGGGATCCAGTTGCACTCTTCGGAGTCGGTGGCGGACTGGGCTTTGGGGACGCCATGGGAGACGTTCCCGTCGCCGTTGAAACCTTTGGGAGCCGCGGAGCAGGCTTGGGCTGAATCATGGTAGCCTGATCCCTCATCTTGGGTTTGATGAATTGGCTGACAGTGTCCCCGATCACCTGTGCGATGCCGCTCGAAGATGATGCCGCTTCGGATGAGGAAGCCGCCTTCGACTTGGCCTTCGACATGATCTGGACAGAGGCAGCAGGGTCACCCGCGCGAAGTTTCTCCTCGGCGGTCTTGGGCTCCTCAAAGATCTCACGTTCCATCTGACGATGCTTCTCCTCACCCGTCAAGTCAAAGCGACGAATGATGACTGCACCACTCTCAGTCTGCTGCATGGATTCCTGCCGAAGTTCGAGCTTGGCAGGATCACGTGTGACGTCGGTGTCCAAGATGTTCACTACACAGCATGGATCTTGTTCATCAGATGGGAGCGCAGCTTCCGCTGGCTAAACATTGATGCCGAGCCGCCGACAATGGGTTCTCTGAAGACAATCTCCTCGTCAGCGTCCGGCTCGTCAATGTCACGCTCGTCGGAAACACCAGGCAACCGATCCAAAAAGGGCTTGAGGATGGCGTCGATGAGCTCACCATCCATCTCCGGCTCTTTGATCTCATGCGGTTCAAAGTGCTCGGGTTCCCCTGGCAGTGCAGCGTCCACGGACTCCAAAAGCTGCCAGTTCGATGAGGCCACAGTGGCATCATCCTGCACCGTAGGAGCCTGCGCGACTTGTGCACGTGCGGGGTCAACTTCATTGGGAAGCCGTTGCCCTTTGGGTCGGGTCTCCTTCACATAGATTTCCCAACCGTCCACGTCCATGGAAACCAACACCTCTTCCATCTCTTCCCATTCAGGGTTGTTTTCAGGTTGAGGGTTGGCCAGCGATTCCTCGCGGCGCTTCTTCATCTCAGCCATCTCAATCAATGGCTTGCACGACCGAAGCCGAAAAAGATGATAACCAAGAGCGCCTGCTTCGGAATAGAAGCGAATGCACTGGAGACGATTGTGCTCCGAATTCTCCATGTGCTGGCCGTCGTATCGTGTAGTACACTTGATAAGCGACGTGGCATCGAGGACGCAGAGTCCGCGCTTCCTCAAAGCCTCAGCTTCGCGAATCATTTGACGGTCATAGTCGGGGTGCAACCCATACCCCCTGCCG